TTATTAAGCATAGGTGGATGGGTCCAAGTGATGTTTCCAAAAAAAAATACGGAACTCCTGTTGTGTAATATTAAAGTGAACAGAAAATATGACCAGTATAGTACGATAAGGGATAACAGAAATAAAATGCTGAGGATATATAACCTGTGACTTGCTACAGTAGACTGCTTCCAGAATGGATGTGCATACAAAGAAGTAAGAAAAGAATACTAAGAAATAAGACAGAGAAGTGATGGAGAGTCGATATCACAGTGGTTACGGTTGTTTGGTTCTCTACTGATGCTATGATATTTAAACTGGAGGAATGGTTCAGGCTAAATGCAAAAACAAAACCTATAAGACTATGGTTCAGAAGACTTCAGTCCTACACGAAACTGTGCAGAGCTGTGCAGAGCTCTCAACATTTATGGAAATATCTTGGAACACTCTAACAGGGGTCCTACAGGGGTCCTGTAGAGCAGTGATTCCTAACTGGGGGTACTTGTACCCCAAGTGCGCGAGTGCATGTTGAAGGGGTATATGAAAATATTTAATTTATTAGGTAGTAAAATAAATAGGGCTGTGATCTGTTTTGCATTCTGAGGGCCAAATTGAGGAAAAAAAAGCGTTTATCAACCAAAAATTACATTTTTCTTATATGTTTGAGTTCACCTTGAGATTTGACACATATCAGAACCAAGCAGAGGAACAGGCTGGAAGTAGAGAACAGCCTGGTATCTGATGCTTTTCACACTAAGCTATCAGAGCTCAAAGGTGTCTTGATGAAAACAAATTAAAACTAATAAAGTCAGTCTGACTATATTTTTTGTTCTGTATTTTGTTCCCAATTCCTCAAGTTAAAATGTGGCTATAAGGGAGTTACTCAGAGTAGCTCCAGTTTTATAAATACAGGTTTATAATATGGTTTTATTTTGTAGTTATCTCAATTCCCTACTAACTTCAAGGCAAAAATATATGTTTTTTTTTTTTTTATTCCAGATAGAGCGACTAAAAGGCCTTAGAGTTAAATGCTCAAAAAAAAAAAAAAAAAGATTAAATAAAGTAGTTTTTTATTTTATAATCAGTTGTACGTTTCACTTTTGGACAATCATCAATACTTTTGACTGAGAGGGTACTCATGGTAAGAGAATATTCACAAAGGGGTAGACAAGTCAGAAAAGGTTGGGAAACACTGCTGTAGTGGACTCAAGCTTGAAATGGAATGTCCCTGTGGATAGGACAAGTTTTGTATGTAGATGAGTCAAATATAAATTAGTTATGGTCAGAAATTGAGACAAGATTGTTTTCAGATTGGATAAAACAGTATAGAAATATCAACATTTACATATTTATTTATGTGTTTATTGTTACATTTTACTTAAAGGAGCCAAAATAAAAAATCATCTTTCCCGTTTTAAGTAATTAGTGTAAAACTCTATATTAGCATTACAGCAATCAAACCCATCTGATATTTGGTGGCCATTTCGCATCTTCTTGTATTTATTTTAAAGATGTATATTTGGTAATTAGTTCCAAGTCTTTAATGTTGTAAGGCCTTCTTCCAACCCTCTAAATGTTTACCCTTTATATAGATTAAAGGTATAGTGGAAGTTGTTCTTTTTCAAGGTGGATCATCAAAATAAGTGGTCCTCTTAATTGTCAATCATTCTGGTGATATCTTTACGTAAGGCCATCCTACGTGCTCGTCCCCGTTTTCACTTTCCCTGGTGAGTCTGACATAGCGGAAAAATTGCAAATCTTTTTTTGGAAAGTAAGCTTGTATGAGTGATGCAAACAGCAACTTAAAACAGAGTATGCACAAGGAGAAATGGGTTTGTGCATGCTCTTGCACGCGTTCCCTCTCGGGAGTGGGTAGGTTTTTTTTTTTTTTTTTATTTAAGGGGAGAGGGTGGGTCTTTTCAAAAATTCACAGAAAATTCTCCGCTATACCTTTAAATCAGGGTCTGACAGGGCATGGGACACTCTAAAAATCTATATTCTAAACTAAAATATACCACGGTTTTGAATAATTTTAGTTTCACCTATTTTATATTAACTAAGACCAAACATATCGGATAAAATGAACAGGAGTTTGTGGTTGTAATGTTTAATCAATGTTTAATCACAGTGTTTATCCCCTTAGATTTCTATAATAAATCTTTGCTTAACACGAGGAGTCACTGCTGCAGCCTTCTTTTTATTGTGCTTCTCTCCACTCTCAGACTACAATTGTCCAAATGCATAAATCATAAATACAAAGTTTAATTTCTTTGAAATACTTTATTTTCAGTCCATGATTATTTAGATAGGATTCAGATCAGTCTAAAAAATTTTTGATTTTGACCTAGAAATTCCCATTGGCCATCTCATGCCCTTACAAACAGCCCTGTAAAATAAGGCCTTCAACAATTTTAGCATCAATAAAAACCTAGGTGTGCAACAATTATTTTTTACTAAGGTTTAAATTTGCTGAGGGATTAGCATTGTTGAAATACAAATAAGCAATAGAAAACTTCCACAGTTTAAGTAACTTATTTGGCCTTTGCATAGACACCTCCAGGCAAAACCGCCCTGGGCAGAATGCCTTATATTCTATGACCTTGCATTTAAAGCATAAACTGATGGTCATTTATGAGTTTCCTGTACTTATTTGCAGTGACTCCATGCTTCCTTAGCATACCCCCTCCCAAGTTATTTTTCATTGGCTAAGATAAGAGATACTGGGTGGCAGATAGTTCCATTCAGTCTTTTTTAAGTTTGGCAGGTGCAATGTATCTGAAAAGAAATTTTCTGCTATTTTATCTGTATTTTCCACCTATTTATTTTTACTTTTTTGTGCAAGTTAAATTTTTATTGAATCTCCATTCATGCTTTTTACACATTTGACTGAATGAGGCCATTTTAATCATGGATTTGCCTCTCTGTTTTTGATGCAAAACTATTAAAGGATACATAGAAGTATTAACCAAAAAGAAGAAAATGTGGCATATATTAATAAAGGCAGTCGGAGGGCTCTTGGTTAGAAAGGCCTGTAGAGATTTGAGATTTATGCACATTTGGCGAACTTTGCCTTGTCTTTTATTTTACATAATAATTTTCTTGCTTGATAAAAGTAAATCGATCAATAATATAGTAACTTAAATAAACATTTGTTATGAATCTTGGAAACACCACCAATAAACTTTGAAGATCTGCCTCTTGCTAATCTTTTTCTGATATTTTTCTTGAAGAAGTTGACAGTTTTATGACTTTAGTTGAAATTTGGGGAAGTTGTAAACCCTGCAGATTAACTTAAGTCTAATAAAAAAAAAAAAAACAAAAAAAAAAACACTTGCACATATTCACAGAATAATTAACACTGCCAATTCAAAAAAAATGTTTTAGGAAAAGGCCTGAAAAAAAATCCACTTTTTTTCAGCAAAAAACAAACAAAAATCTTGGCTACATTATTGTGGTTGAATTTAATGCATTATAAATAAGCAAACCAATAGTCTCCTTTTTCCGTAATAGCCCATAGCCTAGCATTGGCTTAATGACGCAATCATTATGCATTTTTCACGAACGAATGAAAGTTTTAGTCTGGCCTTGTGTGGTCTATTTTATGACTTCGCCACCAGATGGCGGCATAAACAGGGAAACGCCTCCAACAGTCAGTGGGTCACAGAGAGAAAATAAAAAAGACAAAATAGGTCGCTTTTAGATCTTAAGACATCCTTTTCAAATGTTATGTATGCCTTTATAGCAGGATATAAAAAAATTAACAAGCATCCCCCTTTTTTTTAACAAAAAATGTTGATTAGAAAAAAGCCAAACACACGAAAGTTATTTTTTTCTTCTTTAATTAACAAATTTAGTATGCTTAGATTTCAGATAATTAATTTAATTATTTTATGTTTATCTGAAAAATTATTTATCTTTTTTATTAAAAAAATATTTAGTTGCTAAACATCAACGATTTTAAGAGCGAAAATGTGTTTCAAAATGAGTTCGAGATGACCCAACAAAAACAATATAGGCAGCGTGTTTAATTAATTTGAATTTATAATAAGACAAATCTAAAAGGAATAGCTCAAAATAATAGTTTTAAAATATAACATATACAGGGGTTGGACAATGAAACTGAAACACCTCTCATTTTAGTGTGGGAGGTTTCATGGCTAAATAAAACTAGGCTGGTGGCCAATCTTCATTAATTGTACATTGAACCATTGAGTGGGAACGTCCAATTAGCAGGGTATCTATATCTATATATATCTATATATATATATATATATATATATATATATATATATATATATATATATATATAGTAGTATTTGCTTTGCATAACCACAATCAAATAATGTGTTCACCATTAAATAGGGAGAGGAGTAACTGCACCCTCCCACGGCTCCACGCTGCAGAGGCTGCGCAGCTCAGGCCTTGGCTTCATGTATTTGTGGAAGTTGCATGCTCTGCGTGACCCGTGACTGATTTGAGTTAACAGCTGACTCTCTCACACTACAAATGGCTTGCAGGATAATCTGGAGAAGTGCTGGATCACGCAAACCAAGCGCCACTCCCAGAAAGAGGGCACAAGGGATGGAAATGACCAATCAAAGAGCTTCCTCCAAATAATACACATTTAGGTCTAAATCTTTATTATTATTATTATTATTATTATTATTATTATTATTATTATTATTATTATTATTATTATTATTATTATTATTATTATTATTATTATTATTATTATTATTATTTTAATGTTTGAGATAAATAAGAATAAAAGGGGGATGCTTGTATTCCCAAAAGCATAATTAGTATATTATTATATTTAAACTAGTGGTTAGGAATGTATCGAAATGCACCAGAGTTTTTTTTTTTTTTTCTTTCATAAAAAGAAAGAAAAAAAGAAAATCCAGTTTCTAATGACATTTTAATTGTATTATTGTTTTTTTTTCGTGCTTCTCGTTCTCCCCTGTGACGTTTCCCTCCCATGTGACCAGGGCGGTGGTATAAATTAAGAGGGAGGACCCGCCCCCTGTGAGATCCAGGTTTGCCCGTTTTGCAGGTTCCCCCCACAGTCAGTCTTATAACTCCAGGGGCCGCGCTTCAGTCTGCGAATTAAAAACATAACTCTAAAAATCTATGGAAATAGGGAAAAAGCAGCGGGCATTTCTCTGCGCCTCTCATATGAGTTTTTGACGCGGGAGGTTGAGCGGCAGCTCGGAGCGCACAGACTGAGCCATGACTCTGAGCTCGGAGATGTCGGATGCCTCCCTCCTTTCGGAAGAGACCGACATCGACGTGGTCGGCGAAGGCGAGGACGGGGACGGCCGCACGCGCTCCTACGTGGACGAGGTGGCGCAGATGCGGGACGGCATCCTCCTGTCCGGCTCTCCTCCTCCCCCCCAATGCCTGCAGGACGGCCCCACCTCCACCTCCTCCTCCTCCAGGGATGCCTTCAAACCGGCGGGGAAGAACGCACTGGTGAAGCCTCCTTACTCCTACATCGCCTTAATCACCATGGCCATCCTGCAGAGCCCCAAGAAGAGGCTGACCCTCAGCGAGATCTGCGACTTCATCAGCAACCGCTTTCCCTACTACAGGGAGAAGTTCCCTGCCTGGCAGAACTCCATCAGACACAACTTGTCTCTGAACGACTGCTTCGTGAAGATCCCACGGGAGCCCGGGAATCCAGGGAAGGGCAACTACTGGACTCTGGACCCGGAGTCCGCCGATATGTTTGACAACGGGAGCTTTCTGCGGCGGAGGAAGCGCTTCAAGCGGCAGCAGACGCAGGATTTGCTGCGGGAGCATAACGGCTTCCTCCCCGCGGCCGCCGCGTACGGATACGCACCGTACGGCTGCGGCGCGTACGGCATCCAGCTGCAGTCCTACCACACGCACTCTGCGCTGCTCGCCTTCCAGCAGCAGCAGCAGCCCAGACATTCCCACACACACATTCCCTCACCGTCACTGATGGCCACCAGCACGGACCTTACCAGAAGCAGGTTTTACCCCCAGCTCGGTTCCGGTTTGGGTTCCGCGTCCCCGGCGCAGAAACCGAGCTCTCCGGCGCAGCCGCCGCAGCGCTCCCCTTTCTCCATTGAGAGCATCATCGGAGGCTCGCTGAGCCCCTCCAGGACTCCGCCTGTCATTGTCCCGGTTTTGCCCTCTTTGGGGATCCCCAGCCAGACGCAATCCGTCCACCCAGAAGCAGTTTTAGTCGAAAACTTTCCCAACAGAGTTATCGGGGGCACTAGCGCCTGTTAAACTAACAAAAAAGTCTTAAAACTGCAAAAAAAACAATGATCAAAAAACATAAACAAACGCTCCTCTTTGAAGGTAGGATTATTTTTGTACGTTTGATTACAGCAGAATGACGGACATAAAAAAAAAAAAAAAACACTATTTGTGCCTATATTCATGCTGTTTATATTTATGGTATATTTGTTTTATTTTAATGAGAATCAAAATGATTTATTTCTTTTTTTTAACACGAGTTTTCCTTGTATTTTTCCAAGACGTGATTTGTTTCAGTCACTATTTTATTATTATTATTATTATTATTTTAGGAGCGTCTCAGGACAGGTTCTAAATGATCACATTTTTTTTTTTTAAACTGTGTCAAACACATTCCTGTTTTTTTTTTTTTATTATATCAGAAAATCAAAACAAGTTTTAAAGGTTTTGTATTTAAAAAAAACGCAAAACAGCAAAGGTATACATTTATAATTCTATTGCCGTGTGTTTTGATTTGAAGTAATGAAAGCGTTGTACATTTTTTTTGCAATCATGGTGTAACTGAGGTGTATTTTTTACACAGTTTGTTTATTGATAAGAAGAATAAATTTCTTTTTGCTAAACAAAACAAAAACAACATAGTTTGGAAAGAAGTTTATTTAAGCCTCTTTTAAAAATAAACCCAAGGTGCAGGAATAACCAGTTCTACAGTCGTAAAACCTGGCTGATATGCGTGTATCAGCCTGTTTACGTTCAGAAGCTGCATGCTTTTTTTTCTGCGCCACTACTGCACGTTTTGGAACATGCGCAAACGGGCTTTGCGTGTCCATCTGACCTCTCTCACACTCATCCTCATAATTGCGGTGAGCGGACAGGAGGGTGTCAGCCGGGTGAGGCAGGGGGCTGTAGGGTCACAGATTTACACATGATGGCCATAGTTGGGTCACAATTTAGTATATAAAAAAACTTCTTCATCCCTGATATTTTTATGATCTGCTCCAAACTGACACAGATAAAAAATAAACAGATTTAATTTGACTGATTAATATAGTGTGAAATGTAATTGCTGAAAGCATTATAACTAAGTGGTCAAAATTCGTTTCATTTTATTTTCATCAATAAAAGGAATATAATTTGAACAATTTGCTTGGAATAAGTATATTTATTGGTAGTTTTCTTTTTAAATTAACATAAAAAATTGAAGTGTAGGTTTTTAAGTTTTAAACACTAAAATCTTTAAAATTCCTATCAATGGTTTTTCGGAATGATGTTTAATAATACATTATAATCCATTATAAACATGTAAAGTGATTGATGAAATGTTTTGATTAGAGATTATTGTAGTTTATTCTGTTCTTATTTATCTTGTGCGGTTTCCACCAAAAAGCAACCAGACTGATGCTTAACTATTGGAGGAATACCTATGTCCTTATAGGTAAAATTATGTTTTTACAAGTTTTTTTTTTAATCATTTTTTTTTTTTTTATTAGTTTTTTTTTTTGTTCTGGAAACAAGTTTGGAAGCAGATCTTCAATGCTGGATAGAAACCGATTATTATTCCAATAGACAACTGCAAGTCTGTAGACAATTGTTAGTTTTTTAATTCATAGTTCAGCTCAAATGAACATTACAGATTTACTATTTTCTGCTGAACACCTTACAGATTGAATTATCTAATATTTAAGGACATAGTTTTGGAAACATTGTGAAGTAAAACAACAACAAAATATTAAGAAGCGGATGCTTCAAATTTAAACATTAGGAAATTAGATTTAATGTTTTAGGGGGAAAAAAAATAATGGATATATCAGTGGGGATTATTATTCTCCAAAAATCTCTCTTATTTTCCACAGTGCAGTCAATAGATTTAATGATCACACCTTCCCAGATATCTTCATTAAAACAAAAGTTTACTTTCTTTATTCATATTTCAATAAACTCAACATCTCAGCCTCTCTAATGTGTCTGATTTGTCTACAAAGTGGGTTTTTAATAATTTTATTAATAATGATCCCCTATTTTATGAAGCAAAACTAATATTCGTAAGTATAAATCATTATAATCGCTAATAATGTCATGTTAAACATATTTTGCAAAGGTTAGTTAATATATTAATCTTGTGATATTTCTTTTCCTTTTTATTCCTTTTACAGCGCCAGTCTGTTTAAAACTGAAACGTTGACTGAAGCAGATAAGTGGTTATTGTAAGGATGGGTGTGTTAGTATAGGAGGGGGACCTTAATCTGGTTTATGCTTTTAATTTTATTCCAAGATTTGTTTTTATGTGTTTTCTGGCCCAGGGCAGTATACACCTGCACGCTGTTATTCTTCAGAAAGTCACACAATTAACCTGTTTTTACGCATTTAATGGACCTAAAGCTCCTCAGTCCTTGAGATGATGCTTGTGGTTACTTTGCTTCTTTCTTTAAATTTTTTAGCAGCCCTCAGTGCTGCACCCCCCACCCCCCACCCTTTTTTTTTTATGTAGATAGAGCCTGAGCGCTTTCCGTGACTGGAAGTGTGCGTCCGCCGCATGTCTGCTCCGCTGATCCACAGAAACGTGCAGCGCGTAGTAGATGGCCCAGTTGGTGCAGCGCTCAGTTCAGTGGGCCAGTAGAGGATGCGTGATGATGTAACACGCACTGAGAGACACACACACACGCACACACACACATACTGGGGAGAGGGGGAGAAGAGGAGCAGGGAACGAGGTCAGTTGAAGGTTTTGTTTACAAATAACACAGGCAAAAAATAGAAATAGAAATAGAAAAAAGAAATGTAGAATATACAGTTTGGGCAATAATTTGAGGTAATCAGTAATGCATTATAGGCCTAGTTTGAAAAATAGGCTTTCATTGTGTTTGTTATTTTTTATAAAACCCTGACAGTTTTAATGTGCTGTACAGTTTTTGCGTTTATATATTTTTTCCAAAATTCCCCCTAAAATAACCCAGTTTATAGATGGGGAAATAAACTGTTTCTTAATGTTTGCGTGTTTATGTCTTTTAGCACTTTAAAGATGCCCCATTAAACGATTTATACAACGAATTATGCATAAATGCTCCAGGGAATTTCAGGAAGTAGGTTCTGTTCCTGCTCTAATAGAAATAACAAATAACTCACACTGATTTGATTTTTGCGACAGAGACTCCTTTAAATTGTAAAACGTGGAAAACTATGGAAGGGGCTTAAAGAATAGATGATGATGATGACGCAAAGTAAACATCACATAAAGTAAATCATAACGGAATTATATATATATATATATATATATATATATATATATATATATATATATATATATATATATATATATATATATATATATATATTCCATCAATCAATTAATTTTTATAGAAGTAATAAAAGGTTTAACACAGAGTTAAGACACTGTTAAATAATATAGATATGGATCTGTAACTGAAATATGCAATAACAAACAAAATATTAAAAAAAGAGATAAATAAAATAAAACAACAAATCACACACACACACGCACACACACAAAAACAACTAGATGGTCCGAGAGTCTTGGTGCCGAAGGTTTAAAAGCCCTGTGGTACGTTAAAGGCTCCTCAACATGACTTGGATGGATCATGTGGTCATCAGCCTCCTTTAGCATGACTGAAGCCAAGTGAGTACTTTATCCTGCTGGGTCACTCGGTTAATGAGGAAAGGGGATAAAGCAACATTCAGAGCACAAAATACTTGTGGAAGAAAAAAAAGTTTATATATATATATATATATATATATATATATATATATATATATATATATATATATATATATATATATATATTTTTTTTTTTTTTTTTTTTTTTTTTTGCACTATGTATGACTTCACAAGAAAATTAATCCTATATATATATATATATATATATATATATATATATATATATATATATATATATATATATATATATATATATATATATATATATATTCAGAAAATCACACTACTTTTATCCTGATTCTAATGGAGCAAACAGCTACTTAAAAGAAAATAAAGAAAATAAAAAACAGAAAAAGAAGAATCCCCCAAAAAACAAAAGAAAAAAATATTACAAACAATAAAAAATTTATGCAAATATTGTGCATTTGTCTGGCATATGCAAACACAGAACCACAACATGTGCTGTTTAATATGGGACATTTATTTTCATTCAGGAACAAACTAGTGCGAAAGGTAACTACAAATTATTTTTAAAACTGTCGTAATATGAAGTATTGTACTACTTCTAATCATTTGTTTTAGGTTTTATCTGAAAAGGGAAAAAAAGTAAATTTTCCTGTGTATAAAAGTCATATTTAAAGGTTGCATGTAAATACAATATCATTTAGGAAACTACACCCTTTAACTAACTCATTCAAGTCAAAATAATCAAAAATTATTATAAAAACTACATAAAAATTCTTGATATTGCTTTAAAACTTAAACTTTTACTTCTCTGAAAAGCAAACTTACAGATTTCTTTCTAAATATGAACAAAAAAAGTCATCAAATTAAACTGACAATTAAAATTAAAAGAAAATTATGAAAGAATGTATTAATTAAAAATATTATTGTCCTAGTTATTCTAGAATTTCATTAAAAGCAGAGAATCGATAAATATAAAATAAATAGATAATAAAATAAAATAAATGAATGTGTCAATATACCGACTATCATAAAAAAGAAATCCAATCTTAAGCATCATTGAAATAGGATGTTTATTATCTACCTTTTTTATCTTTTCTAAGTGGACAAAATTCAAGCAGTTCTTTTAAGAATAGGATTTTTATCCCTGGAATTTGTTCATTTCATGAAATACAAACACATTCTTACAGTGTTTATCATTTTATACAAGAGAGATGATTTTTGTTTTGCATTAAAAATTCAACCCCTTTTATATTGAGCCCAGATTTGCAGGAGCCTAGCGACGGCCCTGCCTCCTATAGAGGTGCAGAATCACTCAATCTGTTATTCAACGTATGGGGCTGTCTTCCTCCTAAAGGAGCTCCACTGTCTACCCTTTGAGGAAATTTGGAAGCTAATGCCACCCCTGAATGCTTCCCTAATTAGAGGCTGCTCCACACTATAAGACCTGCTGCTCAACAGTGGCCTTTTCCATTCTTGTTAAGCCATTTCTTTCTTTCTTTCTTTCTTTCTTTCTTTCTTTCTTTCTTTCTTTCTTTCTTTCTTTCTTTCTTTCTTTCTTTC